AACCCCCAAACCCTAAACCCTAAGTCTCAGGAGACCCCACGTCATGAGAATGTCGGGCGGCTGCTGACGCAGGAGCTGCCTTTCTCTTGGGCGGTTTCGTGCATTTTATTTGCGGCGCTGGAAGACTTGTTCTTTAGGGTTTAGGGTTTAGGGTTACCTTATGGCAAGTTCTTTACAATCAGGATCGTAGTATATCGTTTTTTCAGATTCTTCTAGGAGGGCTTCTACAAGCTAGGAGTGTACCTTGCTTGAAGCGTCCTCGTAACAGGGATGCGACAGGTAAGGGTCCTGTGAGAGGAGAACGAATCCGCCGCTTCACGACAAGAGATGTGACAGCTCCATGTATCCGCCAAGTCACGACTGGACTGGCTTCGGAAAATGATGGCAAAATCTCTAAGGTTTGCACACGGCTGCGTCGATGGCAGATGACCTATGCAACCCACATCCTGTACTGGAAATCAGGCTCCAGAACCCCTACTTCGCAATGGCACTGGCTGTGGAGATGAAGGCGCGATGCTAGGGTTTACAGTTCCTCAAGGGGTTGTCATAAAAAGGGATCTATGAAGAAAGGGGAAACATGGTAGTTCAGGATAAGTTAGGAGAGTCAGGAGCAAAGAAACATCTACGAGCATCGAAAGACTTGGACCAAGACGAACACTAGGTTCCCGAGTGACTTCTACATGACAAGGATACCCTTTTTCCTAGTATTCGGCCCTAAACCCGAAACCCTAAACCCTAAATCCCTAAACCCAGTATACGGGGACCCCCCAAAATATCAGGGCCACTCAGGAAGCCAGAACATGGCTCTCAGGGCCCAAAGTCCGAAACTCCTAAGTGCCAGCCTAAGTAGGGATTTAGGGTTTTACGGTTTAGAGTTTAGGGTTTAGGGTTTTTAGGGTTTAGGCTTTAGGGTTTAGGCTAAATCCCTACATCTCTAAACCCCTAAGCCCCTAAGCCCTACACCTGTATTCCTCGGATCTATAGAGCCGAAACTGAATGAGAACCCATCTTAAAACGACGTGAGTATGGTGAACTCAACAACAACGAGGATGCCAGAACGATCAATGACAAGAGAACTAAGGCCAAGAGTGGCTGTAACAACACTCACAATAGTAAAACAAACATAACACGAGAAAGGACACCGGCTAGCAAAGTTGGATGAACAAAGCTACCTGCTAGAGTGCCCAATCCTGATGTTGAGAGTAGTATGCATATCTACACCACAGCACACTACAAGACACAGTAATACCTCATCAGAACCTAACCCCTAAACCCTAAAC